GGTTTAAATATTTTTTAAAATTCTCATGTTATTTTTAATACTCTTCATCTAAAAGTATATGCTGATTTGTTTCTAGGTATTTGGGTATATTTCATAAATATTACTGCTGTTGATTTTTAACTAAATTCTATATTTATCAGGAAATAGACTTTTTAATGGTTTCAATGTATTTAACTTTATTGAATCTTAAATTATAGGATGTGTATTTCACTATTATTGTATGGAGAAATCCCTAATATTAAATAGATCAACTCCCTTGATAGTATTGTTAAAGTCTTCTATATTTTTTTGTAATGATTCTTCTCCAACTTTATTTTTAAATGTGTCTATTTTTATATTAAGTTCTCTCTGTTTTGCTTCATATTTTTTGAAGCTCTAGTATTATGTGTTTAAATATTTATTCATGTAGATCAGTACTGTGAAAATTATTATTTAAGGGCTTTGTTTAAGGATGGAAAAAATGATACCATATAGAACTTTGTTTCAGTCTTCTGTTTTTCATTTTGCTGTGTCTTCAAGTTAACTAAGTTACGTCACTGTATCTTCAAGTTTACCAATCTTTTCTACTGTAGTGTCTAATGTTTTTAATCCCATCAGAGTATTTCTCATCATTTTATTTTTCTTCTCTGAGAATTTCAAAGAGACGTTTTGTATGTCCTCCATGCCTCTCTTACCATTCTCATGTTTTACTTCCTTGAAAATATTGGAATATATTTCTAATAGTTGTTTTAATAGGCATCTACTCACTTACCCTCTGTATCATATCTACATTTTGTAATGGATTGATTTTTCTCCTCCTTTTTTTCTTTATTTTTTGGAGACAGGTTCTCACTCTGCCACCCAGGCAGGAGTGCAGTGGCACTCATTGCAACCTCCAACTCTCGGGCTCAAGTGATCTTCCTGATTCAGCATCCCCAGTAGCTGGGACTATAGACATGTGCCACAATGCCCAGTTAATTTTTTATTACTATTTAGAGAAGTGGTTTCAGTATGTTGCCAGGGTTGATCTTCAAATCCTGGCTTCAAGAAATCCTCCTGCCTCGGCCTCCCAAAGTGCTGGGCATACAGGCGTGAGTCACTGTACCTGGTGATTTTTCTCTTTCGTCTGGGTCATAGGTCATATTTTCATGTTTATTTACTATCCTGGTATTTTTTTTTTTTTTTTTTTTTGAGACAGAATCTTGGTCCGTCGCCCAGGCTGAAGTGCAGTGGTGTGATCTTGGCCCACTGCAACCTTCACCTCCCTGGTTCATGCGATTCTCCTGCCTCAGCCTTCAAGTAGCTGGGAATACAGGCGCGTGCCACCACATGGCTAATTTTTGTATTTTTCTTAAAGATGGAGTTTTGCTATGTTGGCCAGGCTAGTCTTGAACTCCTGACCTCAGGTGATCTGCCCGCCTTGGCATCCCAAAGTGCTGGGATTGCAGGTGTTAGCCACCACGCCTGGCTGTTTCCTGTTGTCCAGGCTGGAATGCAGTGGTGTGATCTTGGCTCACTGCAACCTCCACCTCCCAGATTCAAGTGATTCTCCTGCCTCAGCCTCCCAAGTAGCTGGTACTACAGGCACCCGCCACCATGCCCAGCTAATTATTTTGTACTTTTTGTAGAAACGGGGTTTCACTATATTGGCCAAGCTGGTCTGTAACTCCTGACCTTGTGATCTGCCCACCTTGGCCTCCCAAAGGAGGCATGAGCCACCATGCCCAGCCAGGAATTTTTAATTGGGTTCCAGACTTTCAGAATTTTGTGTTTTGGGGTGCTGAATATTTTTGTATTATTTTACTTTGTTTTATAGATGTAGTTAAGTGACTTGGAAAAAGTTTTATTTGAGGGAGAGCTTCCATTTAGACTCTTTTAGGTGGATCCAAACCACCTTCAGTCTAGGGTTAATCTGGTTCCATTACTGATGCAATATTATTCTAAGGACATGATTCAAGTCCTGCGTTTTAGGATATCTTTTTACTCTGGGTGGTTGAGTTGCAGATTATTCCCGGTGCTATGTGAGTTTCTGGGATTATCGTACTTTATATTTTCTAATGGTTCTTTCCCTCATCTGAGAAAGCCTTACTAGTATACACTCATTGATCAATACTCAGTTAAAGATTTGTTGGGAACCCTCTGCAGATATCTATAGCTCTGTTGCCTGTGCAACTCTCTTCTCTTACATTATCTGACCCGCACCTTCTAGTGGCTTTGACCTTCCCCAACTGCACACTCTGTCTTCCAACCCAGATACACTGCCTGACTCTGTTCGTGTTCTCTCCCTCCCCCGGCTGCAGCCTGAAAACTCTCTGCAGGCAGTCAGCGATGGAGGTACTCATAGGCCACTGTCATATGCAATCAGTTGGCTAATGTTTGAAAACTATTGTTTTATATGTATAGCCAGTGTTTTCGTTGTTTAAATTGCGGGCGGATAGTTCCTGTTACTATAATATTGTTCAAAATGAAATTGTCATTCAATTCTTTACTGTTTACATTAATTCTGTGTTCCTGACCCCTATATTCTTGTACCTGAAAAATGGGGCACTTAGAGAAGTGGTTTGAGTTTGAAAGAATGGGCTCCATGCATGTATCAGAATCCCTTGGAGTGATTTTTAGACATTAACATTTCACAGACAGGGACTGTGAATAGCAATAGGAGCATATTCTGTCGGACTTTACTGGGAGGGAGTAATAAGGTATTTATTGGGAGGGAGTAATAAGGTATTAGTAATATTCCCTTATTTATGGTGGCTTAATCATATTTCCTATTGAGCATTTAAAGTGAATGTAATTTGTACATACTTATGTTCTCTAAATATGTTAAGTTTTCCGCCTCTATTTCAAAGGCCAAATCAAGGATTTTTATTTTCCCATGAAAATTCCCAGAGTAGTACAACCATCTTTCTTGTCATATCTCCGGTTATAACAGATCACCTCCCTCTCAAAAAAGTTGTAAGTCCACTAATGGAATCTGCATTAACCTCTATAATGCCAACCAGATTATGGATTCCTCATGATGGGTGGCAACTAATTTGCTATACATCAAACATTTAGCACAATATTTTATATGAAGTAAGGAGATAACCCTCTTTATTAGAAAGAACACTGGAACTTAATTAACCTGCCGCTTTTATTAATGAGTGAGCCTGTCTTTTTATTTGTGAGTTGAGGAGCAGAGATATACATATACTGTAGTTCTCTGATTTTGAATGAGTAAGCAGAGGGAAAATACACATTATTTATAATTGTGAGTGCTGAAACCTCTACCGTGCTATGATTATTATTATTATTATTAGGAAACAAATGAATAATTTTCATGGAAGATATTGAGAAATATATCACTAATTATGATAAAAACCCTATCTACATATTAAATTCTAGACGAAAACTCTGAAATGTCATTTTTATACCTGTTGTAAAGATTGCATTAGTAATAATATCAAAAATATATATAAAAGATACTATATATGCATTTATTATTATTATTATTTCTTTTTTCGGACAGTCTCACTCTGTAGCCCAGGCTGGAGTGCAGTGGTGTGATCTCAGCTCACTACAGCCTGCCTCAGCATCCCTCCCAAGTAGCTGGGATTACAGGCACCTGCTACCACGCCTGACTAATCTTTGTATTTATAGTAGAGACAGAGTTTCACCATGTTGGTCAGGCTGGTCTCGAACTCCTGACCTCAAGTGATCCACCCGCCTCTGCCTCCCAAGGTGCTGGGATTACAGGCGTGGGCCACTGCACCCTGACCCATGTGTTATTATTTTATTAATCCTAACTTTGCAGTCTTCCACTCCTCTTAAGAAATGTTATGTACTTCATGGTACATTTAGAGATGTTGTGAGAAACTGGAAAACAAATTCTATTGAGCATAGACATATAAAGATTATGTTCATATATGTATTAGTGGTTTCTGGAAAGTAGAACCAGAATTCACTGGAAGGAACTGTGTAGTGTATCAGAGAAATGTTTGATTTTATTTTAGGAAATAGCTTTAATAATATTTATAGAGATTTGTTTTTTAATTTAAACTTGTATGGACAAGCAAATCTCTCCACCCCAATGGACAAATTCCAAAACTTTTCATTAGTGGTTTTAAAATCAATTCAGTCATCCAAAATACTATTATAAGAAAAATACAGGAGGGGATGCAAAGAAGAGAAAAGAGGAAAAAAGATGTATAAAATGAAAGTGAGGAGAATGCACAATATAAAATGATTTCAGAAATACTGAGGGAAATCATAGAACTATTTCAGATTTTAATATATTGAAAATATTTCTTACTGTAGATTATAGTAAAAATGTTTGAAAGCCATGGTTTTAAAAGACAACATAGACTAGAATTGAACAGAATGAGATGTATTTCAGTAGAGAAAAAAATCTTAAAATATTGATAATTATTGGTGACTAAGAGGAAACAGAAAAACTATTTTCCTCATTGAAGAATAAAATTATCATATACAAAATAGTTTCTAAATTAATTGTGTTTTCATATAATTCTCCAATCTTACTATTTTATTGTCAGTACTTACATGCAATATACATTTATGATGTGTTTACATTGTATTTACTTTGAAGCTTCTTTGAAGAAATTTTCTATGTAAATTATTTTAAATGTGTCCCAGGAAGGGGGTAAATAAATATATATAATAAGTATATATTGTCTCACCAACATTTAATTGTGTATGGTGTTAAAGACAGCAGACAAATTTTTTTTTTTTGCTAATTAAGTACAAATTGAACTGATAGACTTTTTGCCTGGTAACTGTAGAGATTTTGACATAGCTCAAATGTTATTCTTGTGTCTATATTCAAAAACAATTTCAAGTATAATTTTATTGTGTATTCATTAGGTTCTGAGGCTACTAAAAATATACTTTTGATTGGAATATAGCCCTGTCTTTCAATGATGATAACCATGTAGTCATCAATGCCTATAGATAAAAAAGTTGATTATAATCTCCTATATTATAAAGTCAGATTTGTGAGGATGAACCTCTTTTTTCTTCTTTAGGAATGGCAAGCTCATTGAAGAAAATGAAAAGTACATATTGAAAGGGAGCAATACAGAACTGACTGTCAGGAACATAGTCAATAGTGATGGTGGTCCTTATGTCTGCAGAGCCACAAATAAGGCAGGAGAAGATGAAAAGCAAGCTTTCCTCCAGGTCTTTGGTAAGTATTATAGCATAGCGGTTAAACCTGTTGTGTCTAGTGGAATATCAGAGTCAAATTCTACTCTCATCATTTGAACTATTTAAACTTTCTGTATTAAACCCATTTCATCTTCTCTGTAATACGTTTTACATTTTAGCTACCAGATAGAATTATCTGAAGAATAACATAAAATTACACATGCAAATTTTTGATATGCTTATAACGGAAGCTGGAAAAAATTCGTTTAAATTACACCTAGGGAGGTTTGTCATCCATATCTGTAAGCCTGGATCTTTGTAAGCCTCTAAATGACACATGTTAGGATCAGTTTTACTTACAATATATTTCAAAAGGGCACATTTTTAAGGCTACAGTTTAAAAACATTGACTTGTAACTGTACTTAAATATTCTCTTTCATTTAACTAAATGAAAATATAAGATAAATATCTTCCGTATTTACCAAGAGCCATATTGTCTTCTTTGGGTAACTTATACAGCATAGAAAACTAGTACTTTACAAACATATATTGATGTAGCTTCAATTATGTTGACAAGAAGAAAGACAATGTTGGCAGTTGGTGTTTCTAATAGAATTTTTCCCTTTCAATAGTGTAACACTAAAAACTATATGCCCTCTTAATATTTAATATGTTTTCTCCAACTTTAAAAACATTGTTATTGAAGTGCTTTCACAACAAAAATAAGGAAAAGGAAGGAAGGAGAAATCTGAGAGTAAGAAGGACCAGTGTTTGCAGTTGACAGGTGCAGAGGTGCCCCTTGCACTGACCATGAGATGAATGGTAACCCCTGCATGGGCGTGCCCTCTGCGGACTGGCCTGTAGTCACTGCTGGAAGCACTTTCTGAACTAGAGAGATATTTATAAAGCTCATATTTGAGTGGAGTGACATGGAGAATAAACAGCTATACCAAAATGTGTTAAAATAAAAAATACAATTTTAAAAGTAGAGATGTTTTGAGAGTGAAACTGTATAAATCAGGTAGCATTGGATAAAGAGAAGTATTGTTTTGGATAGCATGGTGTTGGAGAGTTATTCTGAAGGATAATGTTTAGGTGATGTTTACACAAAAATCTAATGATCAGAAGTAGGCCAAGCTAAGTCTAGAGAAGATTGTTCACTTAGAGGGAAGAGTAATATACTTAACATTTTTAGAAATTGTTGAAAGTCCCTACCTTGTTCTAGCAGTGCTCCTCACTTGAAAATATTTTTTTTCTATAAAACCTACAAAATTAAATAAGTATGACTCAATATAAAAATAATCGTATTAGAAATTGTATTGTGTGAGATTATTCCCAAGGGTAGACGGTCTTAGTCTGCCTCAGTGTACTCATCTGAAATAGTAGTTACATCCTTTTTATCAGGATTGGAATGGAAAAGAAAAAAGAGATTTTTTTTACATTTCTGATATTTTCATCCTTTCCAGTAGAAAATAATACATGAAAATTTTACATGTTATGTTATTGTTGTAGTCACTTTTGTGTAGTAACATTCAACAAACTTTTGTTGTTCTTGACACAAAATTGTATGCGTATTGTGGGAATATAACTAAATCTATTAAAGTGAATGAAATAGTGAATTGTTAAAAATTCTGTATGCTGTTTTTCTGATACCAAGAATGTTATTTTCTGAGCTTAAGAACAACTTATTTGTGTTTCTTGGTTAAACGTGTTAAAAGATGTTAAAAGTAACTCACACTGAAATAATGAGTACTCGATTGTATCCATTTTATATCTAAACAAGCAAAAATTTAGGAAATGCAGAAAACACAGATTTCGAAAAATGAAGCTCTCTGGAACTATTTAAGTTTATGGAGGGACATATTTCAATATTGAGATAATTAAAATTAGTAGACATAATGCTTTTCTTTTTATACAATTTATGATTAAAATTTAGTTCCGTTATCTAATATATTATTAAGTAAACTGAAGTCCAAATAAATCAAGTGAAATAATATATATAAGTAACATGTAAATATATTTACTTAGTACATATTTCAAAATTTTATATGATTCTACTTGCTACATTTTCAGGATATATCATCATTTACTTCTTTGGTGAAATTGTTAAAGGTTAAGAGAGAATTAAAACAATTGTGTGTGCATGTGTCTGTATAAATATATTCATGTGTATGTATGTGTGTGTATATACATATATGTGCACACATATACACCCATATACATGTGCCTTTAAAGGAAGAAATTTTGATTTTGTGGCTTTAAGATAGGAAAATAAATATAGAAATGGCTTTTAAATTGGCAAAATTTTGAAACAAATAATAATTTGGATGTTGGTTTCTAAGCCACCTCAAGTTATTTTTCATAATGATAACAAATGAATATTATTTCCTAAATGTTTTTTCCTATCCTATTCAACTGTCCTGGCACAACTGTACAGCAACGCAGGTCACTGTAATTCTGCAAAGCTAATAATATCATACTATACTAAAGTAGACTTAAATGCCCGTCATGACTTTTGTCTGAGAAGTAATATTTTCCTCTAATACCGATTGAGTAATATATATATTCTTTACAGTACAGCCTCACATAATACAGCTTAAAAATGAAACTACATTTGAGAATGGTCAAGTCACACTCATATGTGATGCAGAAGGGGAGCCTATTCCAGAAATCACTTGGAAGAGAGCTGTGGATGGCTTCACGTTCACTGAAGGCGACAAGGTAACCACATCTTAATATGTAATGTTTCCATTACCATACAATTTCAGTATTTTCAATATCATTAAATCTCAAATTAGTCTTCAACATACCTAGTAACCTGTAGGATCAAATAAATGGTTTAATTTTTAAAAAGGTAACTAACACAATGTCAGCCTTACAACTTTGGTGGGGGGAGGAATGTCAATGTGAAATATTTAAAGACATTCTTTATTAAGTCACAAACATTTAGGCTATTGGTATTATTAACGTTGCTTAACTAGACTTTTGTTATACATTCAATCTATAATATATGTTATTGCAATTTTAACCCCTGCTGTATAAATATCTGGCCTTTGCAAATTCACTGACCATGAGAAAAGTGCTAGGACAAATAATATTGCCATTTTAATAACAGGAATAAAGATTTACAAACCAGTACATTCGACTTTAAACCTCAGCAGTTTTAGTTTATTAAAGAAATGATTGTATATTTAGAAAATACTGTGGTGAGTGATGAGCATTGGAAGGGATTTGCGAAGAAGATTTACTTCAAATTAGTTTAATGTGTTTTCTGCTTAGGCAGGTGTCAACAAACTACAGTCCTTAGGGCAAATTTGGCCTCCAGCCTGTTTTGGTAAATAAAGTTTTATTGAAACTAAAGCAAAAAGTAATTTAAATTCAAAGAAGTCTGGCTGTCATTCAATGCTTTACCCTTTAGAATTGTCTTTCTGCAGTAGAAGTGTAGGTTCTGCTTTCATATAATTTAGAATCTAATGTAGAGAAATAAGTACAAACAAATTACATCATTGTCATGACCTTTAACCAGAATGCATTCAACTTGCTTAGAAATTAATGAAACATTACTATATGTTTCACTATACTTCATGGATTTTAATTACTATTCTCTTTCACAACTATTCATACAAACTTCAAATACAAACAAAAGAAAAAGGAAAAGATGGTGAAATATTGAAATGATAGAACTCGCAATTTCATGTAAGTGAAGATTATAAAATTAGGGTATTACATTGCTTTTCTCTACTCAATGTTAAAGGGAAACCTCCTTTAAACTTTTTTCATTATTAACTTTATTTAGGTAAAGAGTCCGATTTCTAAAGTATTCATACACCTCAATATGACTTTGATTTATTAACATTAATAGAAAAAAAAAAAGAAATAGAAATATTTGTCCATAGTACACTTTATGTCAGTCCATCCCATCATGTTATATTTAACAACTGGCTAAACCCATACATTCACCAAAAAAGTAATCTCTCTGGTCAATTTATTACGTTCCTTTTGAAAGACTGTGTTATCATATATATTACCCTTTTTTGTCTCATTTTCTCCTTGTAATGGCATTTTAAGAGATTATGTCTATTTATAATTGTACTGTTTTGACATACTTATTTTATATATTCAAGTTGAAAATCAAATTTATAAAATGTGAATGACAGTCATAATCTTCTGCAACCCAGATAAGTTATAGTTTGTTTTAATATATTCTTAAGAGAAAATCATGTATGTTACTATGACACAGTTGCCACATCTGAAAAGAATTAAATTTCTGTGAAATTAAAAAAATACAATCAGATATCTGAAACCATAGAGGACTGTTTTTATGTTTCAGTTTTGCACATTTATTTAGATTAGATCACTCAAAAGTATTTACTTTCATGCCCTTAGACTGTATTTATCATACCTCCATATTTCTAATGCTGTTTTCTAATTATTTTTCAGCTTACTTTAAAATTCTTAAAAGTTATCTTCTCAAAGATAGTTTTTACTCTTCATTTAATGAATGCTACCTTACATATTATGCAGAGAATGAAAGATAAATTATACTCAGTTATTTTATTAATAAAATGTCAACAAGTAACAAGAAAGCGGTTATATTTTATTCTTGGATCTATGCCCCAGGCCACCCCAAACTACACATACATATTTATTCTGTAGTAACTGTGAAAAATAATCTTAAAGCTTTTGTTTCCTAAGGAGTATATTAAAAAACACCTCTTGTTTTAAGAAAATCTGACTTGGTTTCTTTGCAAAAAAAATTATAGAATCTCAAATATGCTTTTCTGCACAAGTTTAATCCAGTCAATAAAGAAATTAAGTCTATTGTATTTCTATTATATTTCTCCAAATATATTTTAAGATCCTCTACTTATTTCTATCCTCCCGTAAGCTTCTTTTCCCCTAATATTTCCTGTTTCTTGAATAGCATAATTCACCAATCAAGTGGTTGAGCTAAACTTTGAAGTAAACTAAATCTGGTTTTGAATCTCAACTCTGTCATTTATGATGCCTTAGCATGATAAAATTGAGTTCAAAGCGTCCAAATAACATTGTCAGTGTTGTTTGAACTCTTTTTAATATGAATTTTTAATATTATTTTTTTCATCTTTAAAATGTTGATAATATTTACCCTCTTGTTATAAGGAAGATGAGTACATTACAAATGCATATCAGTATTTACCATATTATAAATATCCAATAAACTTTAGTTTTTGCTTTGTCATATTACAAATTTACAGTACAAATTTACAAATTTTACTTTGTCATATTACAAATTTACGGTACGGCCTCATATAATACAGATTAAAAGTGAAACTACATATGACAATGGTCAAGTCACACCTGAAGCATGGTATATCTTGTTGCCTCCATAAAGTATAACACCTAAGGTTTGATTAAATTTAATGAGATCGTATTATTCCTATCATGGAAAGTAGCATGGGATTGTACTTTCCATAAGAATCACTTGGGAAGACTATCAAAGTGCAGATTCTAGATTCCCACTTCTTAAAGTTGATTTAGTATGTGTAGCCCAGGGTATAGGAATGCATATTAAATCAACTCATTAGTTGATGTCATACTGTTAGTCTTCAGGCCATATTTTGGTAAACAACTTCAAGTAAGGATGAAATTTAACAGCTAATATTTTTAACAGAAAAATGATCTTAACCAATTAGTTGACACCTGATAGGGGCTTGGGAAGTATAAAACTAAACTAAACTAAGTTTCCATTATGCATGTATCAGTCAAGTTTTGATGAAACTGAAATATATAGGTCAAAAATAGTGAAATATGATCGATGTCATGTAGTGAAAACTAATAATTTCATCCAACAACATGGCATTGTATTTAGCAAATATGTTCATTCTTTTAGATTTTTCAAAGAGGGAGGGTCTCAATTAACAATTTTTTTTTTTTTTTTTCTAAGTTCTCAATTACCAGTTAAGACAAAAAAAAATGGGGATAAAATACCATGTGACTTAAATGTATGGATAAGTGAATCCTCTTATACTGAGCTCAAGAATTACATAAACATACTCAACACAGTCCCAAGTAGCATGAGACTTACAGCCCTTCCCTGTGTGAGAAGACATGCTAAGATAACCTTGACCAAGGGGGACAATGGTGAACCCATGGTCTCTTTGGGATGGTCCTTTCTGAAAAGAAAAAAAGGAGTAGTTAGGAAGTGTTTAATTTTTTTGTGTCTCCATAGTTATCAATCAGATATCTCTTAACTACCCATGGGAGAAATAAGGAAGGGACTTGAAAAGTCCAACTGTGGTATGTTAGAAGACCTTCCTCCCCATGGAATAAATGATTAAGAGTTCATGAATAGCATTCACTGCCCAACTAACAATATGCTAATAACCTTTAAATCACCATATACATAACTATCTCGATTTATCTTCTAGTATTAGTACTGCATAGTAAATGACCCAATAATATAATGGCACAAACCAGTAATTTTCTCTCACTTCTGATTTTGTGCATCAGAAGTTTGAGTAAGGCTGAACCAAATGGTTATCACTTGGAATCTCTAATGTGCTTGTATCAGATGTTGCTACTAGTGTTGCTTGTAGTTGTAGTTATGAGAAGGTTCAACTTTGCTGAGAAGCCAACATGGCTCACTTAAGTGGCTAGCATTCAGTCTTGACTGTGGGCTGCAAGCTCAGGTGGAGCTGTTTTTGGAACACCTATATGAAGCCTCTCCGGTGTGGCTCAGAGCAGTCTGCTCTCTCTTGTGGCAGCAGGCTTTCTCCACAGAGAACATTTCAAAAGAATCAGGCCAGACAGACACTACCTGGTCTACTCTGACGTAGTCTTGGAAGTCACACATTGTCACTTCTGCCACAGTATATTGGTTACAAACAAATTATAAGGTCCCCAAATCCAACAGGAGAGGAATTAGGCACTCCTCTTGATGGGGAAGGATTCACAGTCATATTATAGATGAGTATGTGGAGTAGGAGATATTGTTAAGGTCATCTTTGAAAATGCATCTACAATTTATCTCAAAATATTCCTATGACTTAAGTCCAAGCATTTTCCCAGGCTTGTAGATGAGGAAACTGAGGCTCAGGAAAATTCAGGGATTTTCACAAGGTCACACAGGGAGTAAGTGGCAGTGCCAGGATTTGAATAGTGGTCTCTCACTCTGCATAGTGCATGCCCATGCAAGGGCTTCAGAATTCTACTAAAGTGTATGGCTGGCACTCTCATATGAATTTAAATGATATTTCTGTTTAATCAAATATAATTGAAAAGTCAGAAGAAACTTTGTTTTTAAACTTATTTATAATCTGATATTACCTATTTTAAACTACTTATAATGTTCAGTAAACACCAAAACTACTTACTGGTTTTTGTTAAAATAGGTATATGTAAAAAATTACTTCATGTAATGGGTGCTACCAAAATGTTTGAAAGACCATGCCGTATAAAACAATCTAGAGGTGTAGGAGGGGGAGCAAAATGGCAGAATAGAAGGCTCCACCGATCTTCTCCCCAACCCTCAAAGGACACCAAGTTAACAACCATCTATACACACACACAAACACATACACACACGCACGCACGCACACACACACAACACCTTCATGAGAACCAAAAATCAGGTGAACACTCATAGTACTTGGTTTTAACTTCATATTGCTGAAAGAGTCACTGAAGAGATAGAAAAAAACAGTCCTGAATCAACAGCACCATACCTCTGCCACCCTCAG